CTCTATTTTCTCTTCACAAAAAAAAACATAATGGTGTGGAGAGGATGGCTATAAGGGGAGAAAGGAGGCCATCCAAGAAAAAAAATCATTTATCCAGAATGCTTTGCATGTAAATAAAATGGCTCCGCCCATGTTAAAATATATTTTAAAGACTTTCCAAAACTGAACATCCTACAGTATTTTTACAGTCTGTATTTTGCAGTTAAAAAATGTTTATCAAATAAAGTTTAATGTTACATCTAATCGTGGGTCCCTTTAAAGTCAACTGTATGAGTCAGCATCAAGTTCAGTGTTGACGGTCTGTCCTCACTACTGTTCTGCTCGGACCTGAACACACTCAGCCAGTTCATTTCAGAGCATGGAGTGTGAAGATTAGAACTAGACTAAAAGCTAACCAAATGAAGACCCATTCTTTTGTGGTTTTTCTGGTTTAGAAAACTGTTTCTGAAAAATGACAAAACAGTGTGAAAATGTTTCTGGAAAGATAAATATTTCTGGGATACAGCCTGGTAGAAACCAGGACTGTTTTTCTGGACCTGTAGACAGTACCTTTGCTGCAGTGAGAGGTCCGGCGGGCCACAGCAGGAGACTCGGAGTTCTTGATGGAAGAGCTGTACGGTTGATAGTCCGGGGAGCTGCGACTGTCCTGACCCCCCTGGACTTCCTCAGCCTTCAGGGCGATGGCTTGCTCCAGGAGCCCCAGGTTCCCTCGAGTCATATCCCAGGTCTCTGAGTCATCTGTGATTCCTGAGCCCTCTGAGACCTGATCCAACTCCTCTCCTTCCTCTTCCTCTTCATCCTCCTCTTCTTCATARTCCTCCTCTTCTTCCTCCTCTTCCTCCTCCTCATCGTCCTCCTCAGAGCGGACTTCAATCACCACAGTGCTCAGAGAGGTTTTGCTCGACTCTCTGTCGTCATCTTCTTCCTCCTCCAACACCACACTTACTTCCTTCTCTCGTCTCTCGTCCTCTTCTTCCTCTTTCTCCTCTTCCTGCTCTTCATCTTCCTCTTCCTCTGTCACGAGGGTGCTGACCTTCTCTTCCCTGAGTGACACAGTGGCTTCATATTCCTGAGTGGTTGGACTCATATTGAATATTGTGTCCACTTCTCTATCTGCTTCCTCCACTTCATCTTTCTGCTCTTCCTCCTCCTCCTCTTCGTCCTTCTGTTCCTCCTCTTCCTCCTCCTCCTCCTCCTCCTCCTCCTCCTCCTGCTCACTCTCCTTATTCTGCTCCTGCTGTGATTCTTTGGCCTGAAGGTTGTAATCTCCACTGGAGTACTGGTGATCAGAGTTTTCTTGTCTCATTATCTGTCTCCTCACCTCCTTCTCTTCATCAACATTTTCTTGCCTTTCTTGTTGCTCTTCTTCCTCTGTTCCTTCTTCCGTTTTCTCGTCCTCTTCATCATTAGTCTCTTCATGGTGACTGACGACGGTTTCTTCGGATGGTGCCTCTGATGGCTGGTACTCGTCCAGCGGCTGGGTGTCTTCATCTTTAGTCTGAGTTTGGTCCTGGTGATGATCGTCAGCTGTTWTCACCTCAGTAGAGTTCTCTCTCTCAGGTTTGTCATCCATCTTTGAGGTGATGCTACTGTTCCTGGTGTCTTCAGCCAGAGGACAAAGTCTTTCTGTGTCTTCTGTAGTCCCCAGTGAGCTGTCTGCTGTAAATAAATATCATTGTTACAAATATTCTCATTTTACTGTTTAATTAACTGAAAGATTATTTGTACTCTTCTATTGTTAAAACTAAGTGACTCAACTTGTCCTACCTCCAGTTTTAAACAGGGTTGCCATACGCTGTAATGAAATTTCATATTTTTCCAAACRCCCATTTTTAAACATTTTGTCAATTATTGACCCACTTATGTCTGTAAATTAGCTAGGAATGTTTATAAAGTAGRGTTTTTATTATTTATATTCCTCGAGCACAACAACAACAATAAAAAAGATTAATTTTAAATATGAGACATTTTTCTTTCTATAGTCAAAAATGTATTAAAAGGATAAAACTCTTACTTAATTTCTGTAATTGCAGAATATTTACAGAAGAAAATTACAGGCAAGCAGAAATGAAAGACCTGTTTTCTCATTCTTTCACACTGGGCACAACTGCAATAAATATCCATTACTTAAAGTCACAGTGTGTAGGATTTTGTCAATTCTTTTAGCCGAAATTGAGCTTATCACTAATGACAATAATAAAAAAACATGTCCAATCATTGCAGACAAAGACCTTGTTTTATTATTTTTACCTTATAAAAAGCTGTTTATATCTCCATGGTC